TATCCCAGCTGGACCCAGGACAGCTTTTTTTTAGTAAATGGTTGCCTTCAATTACAAAATGCTGCAGAGCCTGGTAAAAGAATGTTTGGAGTGCTGAACTGCAAGAAATAGTTTAGTGTTGCCATATTTTTATTGCTTTTTAATAAAGTGTGTGCAGTGAGAGATGAAAGACCCTTTCTTTGTGTGCTAATGGCTCTCATACAGTTAGATGTCAGAGATGCAACTTCAGCTATTTCTGCATTTTTATAACAATAATTCGTGATACCATTTTCACCGAATTTGTATGCTGTGGTGCGATGCTTTGTTGATCCTTCTCTGCTTTTCTAACGGAGTAAGGGCATTTGTGCATTTGATAAGACATCAGCATTCAACTTTTCAAGCTCTCAGTTGATACAGGAATTTGCTAAGTGAGGAAATTTGACTTTGTGCACAGGATTTGGTGGCAGCATACTACCCAAAATGAATTACATTATGTTCATCCTCTGACTACAAAATCCAGAAGCTTTTTCTCCTTTGAAGTTACCTTCCTAATTATGAAGCTGAAGCTTAGTGACATTACAAAACTGGGAAAGGACTCGCTTCTTATCGTATCTGTTAGGCTTGATAGTGTTCTGTGTGTTTTGCTTGCAAAAGCAATATAAAAGTTCTGTTTTAGTAGCAGAATAAGAAACACTCAAGAAAGCAAATGCAGTGAAATTCAGATATAATGTAGAAGTCAGATGATTCATATTTTTTTGAAACATGGTTGAAATCCATCCCTGATGACTTTCCACAGATTTCACATTGCCTTTTTTTTTTTTTTTTTTTTAATAGTTTGAGTTTCATCTTGTCCCAGTTCTGCTCTGTTCAGGTTGAGCGCTTGGTTAAACTATTCATAATTTCTCAGCAGATTGATCAAATGGGCTTAGTGTAAGGAGGAAGTCAGTGGCAGTCAGTGCAGATTTTGATGGCGCAAGGGTAGAACAGAATGAGTTTTGGCAGGTTGTGTGCCTTGTCTCCTTATCCTATCCCATTTATTTCTTAAGACCTCTTCTTTGTCATCTTCATTGGTGCCATGTGACTGGGAGTGCATTTCTCCTTTCACCTCCTCTCCCATCCTGAGTGTTTGCTGTTCTTTTGTAACAGCCCATTTGGTGGTTCCCAGTTTGCTGTCCCTTCAGTAGGAAGAAAGAAAAACCTGAAAAATTGCCTGCACCAAGGGCATAGCAACTGCAAAGTATGTATATTACAGTATTTTTTTTTAATGCATCAATATGCACAAATAAACTTTAGGTAGGTTAAGTTGAGGTGTAGAGGTGTATATAGAAGTATAGATGACTTGTGATTGTTTGAGATCAAGTGGTGCATTTAATTTCATTCAAACTGCTTATTACATTTTTCTTTTTCTAACCTCAGACTTTGAGAGGAAGATAATATTGTTCTGTCTGTAATTCCTTTTCTTTTTAAGTTTTGTTCTACGCATTTCTATATGTCCCTAACAAAATCACTTGCTTCTGTCTTCTCTGTTTCATTTTCAAAAATCTAATTTCAGGAAAAATTCTGAAGTTTTGGGAGCCATGGCTAAAGCTGACATCAAACCAAAATCTGTGCATCATGCCAAAAAATGGTCAGATGATGTAGAGAACTTATACAGATTTCAGCAAGCTGGATACAGAGATGAGGTTGAATATAAACAAGTAAAACAAGTTGATATGGTAAGATTTAGAACTCTGCAAGGATTATTACTTTAAACTTGTCTCACGTTAAACAATTAAATAAAAATGGAGATGCCCCTTGTTTCCTTTCATTTAAGCTAGTTTCTGATACAGTTTTTTTTCCTCCCAGGTCTGACTTGAATTCTTGAGCTGTTATTAACTGTGTGAAATAACTTATCTCACAGAAGTCAAGCAGAAACACTACCCAACCTGTGTTTTTGTTCCTCCTCTCTTATGCATCTAGAAGCATTATAGATTTCTTTGAATAGATGTAGCTGCTATCTAAAATAATATTTCAGTTTTGAGGAAAGGAATATCAAAGTTAGTTCTCTGTGAAGTTCCCCTGTTACGCTGCCAATAGACCTGACAGGAAACTCATTCATTATGGAGGGAGACAGTCCTGCACCACTGCTCATGACTTCGGTTTTACCGTTGAATTGCATGGTCGCATAATCAGACTTCGTGCACACTCAAAACTTGGCTTCTATTGAAACTCCACAATAGAAATATTTGATGGTGAAGGGAGTTGTGGCACAGGCTTTCATCAACTGAGAACATCAAGGACTTGGTCCTCTGCTCGCTACAGTTGGTGGCAATGCTCCCTAGCACATCAAATGAGCTAATGAGTAATGGCTAGATATTCAGTGGCTACTTGGGATTCAAAATAGCATCCAGAGGTTAATACAGCAAACAACTTACTATCTTTTTTGGAGCTCTGTAATTTCTCTTCCAAAGGAGCATATATAGTATGAAAAATCCACTTCTAAAAGAGCTTAACCTCCTGTGCACATAAGAAAGAGCAGAACTTTCCAGAGAACTCATCCAGTTAACTCAAAACATAGTAAAACATTGATGTGCATAATAAGATGCAGTTTATTATTTTGTTGTGGGCTGGGATAGCATCATAAAGGCTGTGGTGTAAATTCCTTTGACTGTGTGAAAGGAGGTCCTGTAATTAGTGTGGTAGGATCAGTCTGCTTGAGATTTGTGGCAGAGCATAACCACAGACAATTAAACACTGATAAAAGTTAAAAAATACCACTTAATGTCAAATGAGCATGCATTCTGTTCAAACTTGCCAGGATCTGGCAGTGATTCTCTTTCAACTTACACATTTGGAAATGTCTTGTTTGCTCCAATTATGTTTCCATAATGCAGTTGTTATTACTGATGCAATTATAATGTAGGTGGAATGAATATTAAGGCTGATATGTTTAGAAAGAGAACACAAATAACTCATCTGTATGCCTGAAGTAATACGGTAAGTGATGGAACTACCACTTCTGGGACTCTCCAATTAGAGAGTTGCCCTAGTTTGACATCTGTTGTCAACCCTTCCTGGAAGAGGAATAAGATCCTTATTACCTGATTTTTAAGGTTCGGGTTGATCAGAAGTAGTCATAGGTGTTCAAGCTGCAGATAGCTACTAAAGCCATAAAGCTGTTGGACGTACAAGTGCTCAAACCTTTTGTTTAAAGCTTCACATTGTGGAACACTGAAGAGCATCAGGACAGTGCTGGTTTCCTGCAGCACTGATCCTGCTGTCTTTGAGACTATGATGCATATAGCTCACTTTATTTTTATGAAATTGCTAAAGAAAAGCACATTTTTCATGGTTGGAAGGATCCCAAAGTGTAAGTCAGTCTTACAGAAATGGAATCTTTCAGATTACTGGATAACTGAATAGCATCAATGTTTTTTTTCCTAAATTAGTTATTTTTAAAGCTTTGAATAGTCCACTTTTTAAATTACTCTAGTCTATCAGCTATCCTTAGGTCCTTATTTCTAGACTTTTCTGATCACATAATTCTTTATACTAGACCAGAAAACTGTTTTCTGACATCTTGTTAATCTTTTTTTTGAAAGTTGAGCAAATTAATAGCAAAATAGCGGTTAGATGCAAATGAGGTTTTCCCATGGAATTACATTATTTGCAATGTAATGCACAAACATCATTCAACGTGAGCGTGTTCAGGTGAATATATATCCTTTTTATTCTATTTGTAGGTAGAGTGTTGGCCAGAAACTGGATTTGTTAAGAAACTTCAGAGAAGGGACAACACGTTCTATTATTACAATAAGCAAAGAGAATGTGAAGACCAAGAAGTCCATAAAGTAAAAGTTTATGTGTATTAGTTTTGTTACTGTTCTAATTTGTACTTTTTATTAATCTCTTTGTCAGAATCTGTAAGTGAATGAGAGTGTGTAATCTGACTTACCTTAAGTATTGGTGTCATTCTTGGATAGAAGCAGGAAATACAGAGAAGCCTATATTTTGTCACTTTAAGATAGTGGATCTCACTTTTTTAAATTCATAGATTCTTAAAAAATAAATCTTCCAGTTGACATGAAAAAAAATTCACAAAAGTAGATGTGTTGTATAGCCAACTCAAATTTATTGACAGAAATTATTGCTGTCAGCACACACAGTAAGTGACAAGGTCTGGTACAGCCATTTTCTCAGTCTATAAAGCAGACATAGTTGGGCATTCAAGATCAGGAATTAAAACTGCAGGTAACTTTTTAGAGCCTTACTTTTTTTTTTTTTCAATAAAGACTTTTAAAAATTGAAACAAATGTAAAAGATTATTCTGGGTTTCCCTCATTTTACCTGACTACACCTCAGTGTTTTTGCAATACTGCTGGATGCTTTGTAATTTCAAACAATGTTCCACTTCTGAAATGCTGATTTGGTATGACTTGGCAGATTCTTCTCACTCTGAGAGAATTACCTAGATTTCATTACTTACATTTTTCAGCATTGTCAGTGTGCTAAAAGGTTGAATCTCCCTGTAGTATTTAAAAGATTAATGGGATGACGAGGAAAGATAAGCCTTGTAATTAGTGCTGGAGACCAGTTTACAGACATAGCCTTTGTCAGCCCTAATGCTGTATTTGGGACTTCGCTCACTTCATTAGCAAAACTGCAGGTTTTGTATTGGCAGTGACAGTTTCAGTTATAATTGTCCCTTGACATCCAGTTTGTATCCATATTTCACTCCAGTTCATGCTAAACTTAAGGTTACTTAAAACCACTCTATTTTTTTAAAGACTGTATCCGTGTAATGGCCTTAGCTTGAAAGCCAAAGTGTTTTCTCTCTTTAAAAAGAAACAGTGCAGGAGTTCTTGCTTGAATTCAAGTTTGTCTGTGATCACAAGCTAACATTAATCTAGTATAAGGACAGTTGCTTGAGTTAATTCTTAGAATCACAGAAAGGTTTACGTTGGAAGGGACCTTAAAGATCATCAAGTTCCACCCCCCTGCCATGGGCAGGGACACCTCCCACTAGCCCAGGTTGCTCAAACCCTCACCCAGCCTGGCCTTGAACCCCTCCAGGGATGGGGCATCCACAGCTTCTCTGGGCAACCTGGGCCACTGCCTCGCCACCCTCAGCATAAAGAATTTCTTCCCTATGTCCAATTTCAATGTACCCTCTTTCAGTTTAAAGCCACTGCCGTTTGTCCTGTCACTACAGGTCCTGGTAAAAGGTCTCTCTCCATCATTTTTATAAGCCCCCTTTCAGCACTGGAAGCTGCTCTAAGGTCTCCCCAGAGCCTTCTCCAGGCTGAACAACCCCAACTCTCTCAGCCTGTCCTTATACAGAAGGTGCTCCAGCCCTCGGACCATCTTTGTGGCGTCCTCTGGACCCACCCCAACAGGTCCGTGTCCTTCCTGTGCTGAGGACCCCAGAGCTGGATGCAGCACTGCAGGTGGGGTCTCACGAGAGCAGAGTAGAGGGGGAGTATCACCTCTCCCGACCTTCTGGTCACACTTCTTGTGATGCAGTCCAGGATATGGTTGGCCTTCTGGGCTATGAGTGCACATTGCCAGATTATGTCGAATTATCCATCCCCCAGCATCCCACAGTCCTTCTCCGCAGCGCTGCTCTCATTCCATTCATCCCCCAGTCTGCACTGGTGCTGGGGTTTGCCCTGACCCAGGTGCAGGACCTTGCACTTGGCCATGTTGAGCTTCATGAGGCTCACATAGATTCACTTCTCCAGACTGTGAAAGTTCTTCCTGAAGTGGCTTTGATATTCAGCCGTGCTTGTTGAGCATGAAGCTGATACTTGAGTAGTAACATGTTTTCCTCTGCTACCATGATGCTGGATGTCTCTCTTTCAGTCAAAAAACTGTCAAAACAATTTAATGTGTCAGTATTTTCTCTTATTTGATCAATCTGTAACTGAAATGTCTGTCACCTGAGTTTTAAGCACGTTGAGAACTGTTAGCTTACTTGTGTCTTAATTTAAGGTCGCTACATTGCGAAAAAGTACTGGAAGTAGAGCAGTCTGAGGAAGCTGTGCTTCATTTTAGGGGTGACACAGCAGTTCATATCAAGATAAAAAACTTATTTCTGAACGCCATTACCAAAACTTTTTTTTCCTGAACTTCAGTAACTTTAGAGAGATAGAGATAAAATCACATCTCTCCATTTTATTGCCTAGAGATAAAAATATGTGCTATTTTTCCTGATGTGAGTCTTAATAAAAAGCAATTCTGTGAAAATACTTTCCTAGGTACTTATCTGTTGGTATTCCTCTTGTCAGGGAATACCGTAATGCTTTCAATGACCATTTGCAGCAGCTCAACAGGAGGCCAGGCTCTCTCTTAGCAAGTGCTTTCCAGCTGCCCAAGTCTGAGGTACTTGGTTTAATTCTAATTCAGTTCAAGGCTTTGTACAAGATGAGAATAAATGCTTTCTGTGCCTGTTGAAGCTCAGAAAAGGAGGTAAATAAACTTTTCCAAGACCTACTTTTCAGGCTTTGTGTTTGACAGCTACAAGTGAAATGGCAAGGGTGCAACCTCTCTGAATTCATCCAGTTACACTGGGGAAATAAAGGCTGCATTTGTGTGTTCTAGGCTGGTTTTCTGTGTTTTCAGCCTTTACTTGAGTTCATTATGGAATGGTATTGTCCGAAAGTAATACTCTGGTTATTTGATTGCTTTGCAGTCACAGCAGCTCAAAGCACCACACAGAAAGATGGTTTTAATGTTCACTTTGGTACCTGAGTGGACAGTTGTCTTTCCAGCTCTGAAGACAGTTGAACCTCAACCTTTTGGTTTTCAAACATTATTCCATCATTTCAAGGTGCTGAAAATGATTGACTGGCTTACAACTCATTAAAAACAACTTTCTAACTCCAGAGCTGTAGATGCCGCGTTTCCTCACACTGTCTGATGCAAGTGAAGTCTGTCTGAAAGCAGTTTGAGCGGAGTTGCCTCATGGTTTTACAGGTTCTCTCCTATTACCCCAGCTCCACTGGATTTATGTTTATTTGTAGGAGCTGCTTTTGTAGTAGCCTGCCTGTGCTGAGTACTTCTTGGCATGTTGTAACTGCTTTATAAAACACATTTACTTTCTTGTTGCAGTTGAGACTTGAAGTAACTGCAGCACTTACTTGAAGTCTGAAACCCAGCACTCCTTAGAGCAGCATTTGGAGGGTTACAAAATAAAATTGAGGCTGGAGCAGTTCTTTCAATGGCCCATCAGTCAGTGCCTGACAGCTCTGGCCTCTGTTATTCTCTCTCTCATCACCTACTCATCAATGTTTGTGTGTCTGTGTGTTTAATTTAGCATTTTGCTCACTCTTTGTCATTTCTATGATACAGAATAGTCCTTAACCAAGTAACTCACTGAACCAGATGCTCTCCTATTCCACATGTCATTATGCCAGCCTCCCCGCGGACGGCAGCTTGGCGGCAGTGTGAAGGATGATGCTGTGCAGGACCTCCGTGGGGCTGTTGCTGAGGTGTCCAGGCAGGTGTCAGCTCTAAGGATGTGGAGACAAAGGGAAGGGAATGCCTAAAAACCAGAGGAGGAAGAGGATGGGAGAGGGAGGGATGGAAAAAGGGCATGAGTTCAGG